CGGTTGCGCTAAATCGATAAATCGGAACAGCCTTAGCGCTCGAAGAACTGGTCTTGCAGAGCCTTGGCCAGTTTCGGACCTTGGTAAAAGATCTTCTCGTTTTCTCTTTATCTTTTGACACCGCCCATCCTGTGAATGATAAGCACGGAAGTCATCTTTTGATACCTGGCCTGCCCTTCTAACTGGCTATCACGTAAAGCCCTTTAAGCTTAGCTAGCGCAAACCGATTGTATACCACCACTGATAAACACCAGAATAAGCGATATTCACTGGGCCCAATGCCCAGACGACATGCGAAGTAAGAGGGATGTAGGGACGGACCTAACCTAGTATGGGTGCGATCTCAGCTCGCTGCTAGGCGAAGAAGAGGTCGGCACTAGAAGGTTTCAAACCCTCGAGCCTCGTAGAGGGCCAACTATCGTTGCGGCCATTCCTGGCTCGGCTCCGATAACGTAATTCCGGGAGGAGTCGGTAGTTGGGCACTGGATCCCTTCGGACCTGGAGTGTCTTTTTTAAGAGAAATTGATTTTCACTTTCTTTTCCTTTCTTGTGGTCCAGTCTCTTTGTAAGAAACATCCACGTCCATGAACAGAGTCTGCCTGCTTTCTAGCCAAATTAATGCGACAGTTAAACAATCCTAAGAGCGAGGCGGGTCAACCCAACCCGAATGGGAATAAGAGGGTCAGCCAAACAGCGGGCAGCTCCACTTTGTACATTTGCTGAGGCCTATACTGATCATGGCATAAACCATGCCTAGATACCCGAAAACCGGTTTTCCCGAAAAAGTCGAAACGATTTCACTCCCCGACGGGGGTTCTTTTCACCCTTCCCTCACGGTACTACTTCGCGAGTCACAGGTCTCTAACATATTAATATCTAATGATTTTCCAAAAAGTATTGACGAAAGATATAACTTATAAAGCTTGGAATCTGCACAGTAAGCTTCGACCCTGGCTTCCGATCAGCGAAGACTGTTTTGTTTGTACTTTTTTGTCCTCGTCGACATATTTGAAGCATTGATGGAGGGTGGGCTCCGAGAGGGTGATCGAAACATCTCCTTCAGTGCCTGGTCAACCATTAAAGAATAGGAGCGGACCTACGTCTAGAAGAGAATCCCGACTAAGCCGATGGGAAAGGTCAAGTACTATTGGACAAATTTCTCCTTTTCTTTTCTTTTTCTTTTTTGCCATAACGCCCTGCAAAAACCTAAAGTGGTTGGTCCAGGAGAAATGGGATCTGTTGCCTCAAGAAAAAGAAGGACCACTGGCTCGGCAGGAACTGGAATGAGTCTTAGTTTCAATATCCCCTGCTCTTGTTGAGTCGACTGTTCATGGCATGGTTTGGTGGGACCAAGAATTGCTCTTGTTCCCGGACCAGGAAGTTTTTGCTGCCGTCACTCATCCCTGGCTTGGCTACGAAAGAGGTAGGGGAAGATCTCGGGATAGAACAGCTAACGCGCATCCGTTTTCTTGCTGCGGCGCTTACAGTCTCCGGTTACCTGGAACCTGGACCAACTTGAGACCAGGAGACCTGGGGCTCGTACCTCGGGTTTCAGTTCAGTGGTTTCGTTAAAAGTCGGCCGAGCGGGAACCCGTCTGAGAGGACGAAGACTCGGAACCCGCCAACCGCTCCGTCGGTGCGCGACAGAAAGGACCGAGCTTGCGAGTGCAGGGGAGGTGAATTTAAGAGATAAAGCCCCTAAACTATAAGATAAGTAAGCCTCCCCCGACCATACAAGGGCACGCCGAGCCCACGCGAAGGGTTTAGTTAAGATATGCCAGATTCCGCCAAGTATACAAATGGAACCTAACCACACATGTCCTCCGATTATATCTTCTAAATCGTCCACACTAACAATCCACCCTTCCCCCCCAAAGGGAGATTTTAGTAAATACCCAACTATGATACTTGGGCTAAGGGTCAAGTTGGTAATTTTTCTTACATCTCCCCCTCCCGGAGCCCAAGTATCGTATACGCCCCCAAAATAAAGAGCCTTGAAGACTAGAAGAAAGGCACCCAGACCCAACAAGATTAAGTGAATACCCAAAATTGTGGTCATTTTATTTCTATCTTTCCATACATAACCGAAGAACGGAAAAGATTCTTCCAGCGTCTCGGGTCCCAGAAGTGCATGATAAATACCGCCAAAGCCCAACACTGCAGAGGAAATTAAATGAAGGACTCCAGATACAAAGTATGGAAAGGTATCTACAACTTCCCCCCCAGGACCTACTCCCCAACCTAGAGTAGCTAAATGGGGGAGTAAAATTAATCCTTGTTCGTACATAGGCTTCTCTGGTACAAAATGGGCCACTTCAAATAGGTTCATTGCTCCAGCCCAAAATACGATTAACCCGGCATGGGCTACATGAGCTCCTAGTAGTTTACCGGATAAATTAATCAGTCGGGCATTTTTCCAATGGCTTGATTTGATAGGGGAAACCCTTGAACTTCTGGCTGGTTAGGAACCTTATGTTGACGGAGGCTCGACGAAGTTGAGATCGATCGCTTGCCCCTTTCTCATCTCAAACCAGAACAAGTCTGAACGCGGACTGACAGGTTTTTGGCGCTAAAAAGTGAGGTTCGATGCAGAATCGTATTGATTTCGCATTTGTCGACCTGTGGATCGGAGCGGAACTATGTGTGCCTGATTGACACACTGAAAAACCTATATCAGCCAAGGTCAAAAGTCAGAGCGGGTCGGGTAGAGCGAGCCCTGCTGCCCTTTCTTCCTTTCTTTCCTTTAACTAGAGACTGAATCCACCAATATTAAAGCCTGGCTTGGCGACAACCTCTTTCCTGTCCTGCCGGAAGTACGCCTTCTATTGAGAACTTTAGCTGCTGTTCGATTTCACGTCTCAAGCTAATAGCTGTTGGATTCCTGGTACTCTTTCTTAGATGTGATTTACCCAATAAGCGGATACAGGGCCAAGCAGCACGAGATCATCGAACTGCACTTTAATTAAGAGGTTCGGGGAAAGCTACAGCTTCGACCCTTCTTTCTAAATGGAAAACAAAGGCACTGAAAATCTCCACCTTGGCTACGAAGGCTTTCTGGTCGATAGTCTAATTCATAAAACCAGCTCCGCGAAATAAGTAAACGGTCTAAGACAACTGTTCTCGCCTTCCTATGATACGCAAGAGGAGCAAATAGCACGGTCTTCGAGACGTTCACGCCGGCCTAGTAGCGAAAGTTATCAAATGTTTTTCCTTTCCGTTTTATATAAACATTCGAAGGATCCTATGCCAATGAGCTGATTGGAAAAAGTGGTCGGAAACTTGCTTATGAAATCGGTTGTAGCGCGGGTTTCGGGTCATCGTGGAGGAAGTAAGCTCCATCGTTGGTGAGGAGTTGAGGGAAATTCAAGTCTTTTTTTCTCCTCGCCGGGGACTTCCGCTGCTTCTGGTCGCGCTGCTACTTCCGACTGTGCTGATTCGGGCATTCCTTCATGGGAGTATGAGAAAGCCCCGATTCGATCAGTTCCTGTGAAATCCCCGTGATGAACAACAAACAATAGAGGAGTACGCATTCTAATCTAGCTGCTTTTTCTCAGATTCCAATGGGAAGTTGCTGGCGCCACCCAGAAATGAAACAAACCGGTGTCCTTAGAATCAGACGAGATGGAGCGGCGTTGTACTGCTACAATCTCCTCTCTACCAACCAGCGACCTCCAAAATCCAATCTACAGCGGCCAAACCAGGATTTGCACCTTCTCTGTCCTACGTCCAAACTCCAATCAACAACTCTTCTCTAATGGCTTTAACTGATCATATGTCCCGTCCCGCTTGAACGCGCTAAGAAAGGTTGCTTCTGTCGGCCTTTATGTGCAACAGTCCACCAGTAGCGAAAGAGAGGCGTACATACTTCAGTCTTCCAGTTCTTACGGAAGCTCTTTCTTACCAGTCAAGTAGTACACTGTATCTTATCTTATAGCCCGGCGCACTTCCCCAATACCCCCTTTCTATATAGGTCATGGGGGGTTGGACCTACGCTGGATTTGGCATCTAAGGTGTTATCATAAAAGAAACACTATTCATCTCTAGCATATTTTTAAATATCAATTTTGTCAATTCATATTATATTATTCTTATATGACAATAACTTTATCATTCTATATTATCCCATATACATTAGCAATATTAATTTTCTACTTTTGTTTTCATCTTTTTATTCTCACTTTTTTCAGCAAGAAAACATTAGATATATATATATATTTTTTTTAAAAAAAAAATTGTTCCGATTAAAAAAAATGAGATAGAATTAAAATTGCCAACAAATATAAGAATAAATATATAATTATTAAAATTTATTTATTTAAAAATAATTAATACTAATCGAAAAATGCGGGTGGAGAGACAATTTTTTTTTTAATTAAAATTTGATAATAAATTATTCTTTACTTATTGTGTATTAGTGAACTTTATGAAGGAAAATTGAGATAAATATATGTTAATCCATAATTTTTAATTGACTAAAAATAATTATATCCAATATAATCATTTTTAAAATAAATCTACATCAATAAAAAATATAGACCGATATACAACAGGAAGATACTACGGTCCCGTTACTGAACTATCTCATCGAAATCGTTAGATGGATTACAAACTCCGACTGAATAGTTCCATAACGGACTTATCATTTCCCTATATAACAATTATCAATTCATCCTAACCCACCCGAGTTTGGACCCAGAATCAAACCCGTATTGGGACCTCCCAAGAACACATCCCATTCCACTACCGCCCATCACAAAAATCCTCTGCAACTCAGAGCTTTATATTACCCTTTTTCTCGATCGGAATTCCAAGCTACAATCGGCATCTGATCTGTAAGTCTTCATCCGTAGCTCCTTTTTCATCTCTCTCTACGCTTACCGCGTACGCACTCATCAAGCATATGTTTATGTAGCTAATTTGTCATCTTGTGATCATCGCTTTCTTGATAGGGTTCTTGCTCTTCGTTAATTGAATCGATCGAATTTTGAAATCCCTGTCCAATGGGCTGCACCGTCCGAGAGAAACACATCCGAACAAATCGGAGGGCCCGATCGGTAAAACCCGAACCCGATAATTCCACCTCCGCTAACACCAATGGCAATGTCGATAAATCATCCAGCGGCAAAACCTGCCTGAAACCTAAAGGTTACCAGATGGGCCTCCAAGCCCTGTCCCAGAGCTCGATGACGGGCCCGAGCTCCACGTTCGAAGATAACGGGTGGGGTTACTGCACCGAGGAGCAGCTGGAGGAAATTTTGCTTAAGAATTTGGAGTATCTTTACAACGATGCCATTAACAAGCTGGTGGCTTTGGGCTACGATGAGGAAGTGGCATTGAGGGCGATTTTGAGGAATGGGCACTGTTATGGTGGGATGGACGTCCTCACGAACATCTTGCACAACTCCTTGGCCTATCTCAACAGTGGCAGCACCACTGGAGCCGAGGATGAACCGGAGCCCTCGTTTGCTGATCTAAGGCAGCTGGAGGAGTACTCACTTGCCAGCATGGTTTGTTTATTGCAGCAGGTGAAGCCCCACCTAAGTAAAGGGGACGCCATGTGGTGCTTGCTGATGAGCGACCTCCACGTTGGCCGTGCTAGCGTGATGGAAATTCCCGTATTGCCATCCCCCGGCGGGAGCACAGGTGGTGGTGAGGGAGCACCGACGGGTGGTGGTGGGCCCCATGAGGTAGTTGTTGGCAGTGGGGGCCCTGTTGGGGTGGCCCCTGCCTTGTGCAGGTTTCATGGCGGCTGGGGGTTTGGAAATGGCGGCACATCCGAGTATCCTGCAAATGGGATGAGCGGATTCCTATCGTATGCATCCGAAATGGCCCTGCAGAGGGAGATTGAGTGCCCGAAGAGGTTCAACCTCAGCCCATCCATGAAGAGTCTGCTCAAGAGGAACGTGGCCATGTTTGCTGCGGGTTTCCGAGCAAATGCGAAGCAGTTTCACGGCCAGTCACAGGCCTGCATGAGCTCCTTGTCCAGTGGGAGCTCATCCGGGCCCCTGCCAGCTGGTGAGGAGTCCCAGCACTCAAAAAATCAGGACGTGGTGAACTCGGTCATGAGCAAATTCCGGGACCTGAACCTGGACGAGACCACAGAGCATGTGGCCCTGGACCAGAAAGACGAAATGATCCTGAGCCTGGTCCACCAGATCAAGGACCTGGAGAAGCAGGTGAAAGAGCGCAAGGAGTGGGCCCACCAGAAGGCCATGCAGGCTGCCCGGAAGCTGAGCCACGACCTGACTGAGCTAAAGATGCTGAGGATGGAGAGGGAGGAGACTCAGCGGCTCAAGAAGGGGAAGCAGACGCTGGAGGAAACTACCATGAAGAGGCTGGGTGACATGGAAGGTGCCCTCAGGATGGCCAGTGGCCAGGTGGACCGTGCGAATGCTGCTGTTAGGAAGCTTGAGACAGAGAATGCAGAGATTAGGGCAGAGATGGAGGCATCGAAATTGAGCGCATCCGAGTCAGTCACGACCTGTTTGGAGGTGGCCAAGAGGGAGAAGAAATGCCTCAAGAAGCTGCTGGCGTGGGAAAAACATAAAGCCAAGGTGCAGGAGGAGATTGCATCCGAGAAGCGGAGGATCATGGAGCTAGAGCGTGACCTGGCTCAGGTGGAGGTAGACACCAAGGAAGCTGAGGTAATGTTGTTGTCACCGGAGAAAGTTGTTTGTGTATGGTAGTTCGCCTTTTAGACTGCTGGTACGCGACAAATTTAAAATTCTTGTATTTGATGATTCTTAGTTTAGTGGTTTCAGATATAATGCTACTTTTGGTGAATTGCGGTAGGAATGCTTGTGGCATTTTCTGAACAAATACGGAGCAGTATTTGTGAACTGATCTGTGGCAAGTTCTGCAGATATGCACAATTGTGCATGGTACATTGTCTGTGTCAAAATATATGCTGCTAATGTAGCTGAGATAAAGCTTAACAATATTATTATACTGTATCTTATAGTTCTTCTATGGCCCCACTATCAACGAAGCAAGTGGTCCTGTTTCCAATTGCTTAGGTGAACTGATGCGACATGGCAATTTGTGCATGAGTAAATTGGTGGATATACAGTTATGACTTGATATAGTGTCAATGCACCAAAGCTGCTACTGGATTTTCCTTTGCTAGAAACGTCTATATTGTAGCTTAGGACCTAAGGAAAGAACCAGTTATGGGTTACCTTGGAGTTTCCATTATGATCTGCAATTTTAGCCCTGTTTCCAACTTAACCTATTGGCTATGATCCAATTTAGAGGTTTACCTTCTCCTATGCATTCTGGAAGTTTTTTTAAAAGCCATTCTTTTGCTTTTGTCTGTATAGCTTGTTCTGACTTTTATTCAAACTTGACAAAGGAGGTTATGCAACTTTTTTTAGGAAAATCTTTCATTAGTCTAACTGATGAATTTGTTGGGGACTCCTTAAAGTCGCATATTACTAGCAATCATTTAAAGTGGTCTCACTAGTTTTTCTTGATAAGTTGTGCTATTAAGGTTCGACCCTTTTATATATGTTAACTTTCTACTCTCATTTCCCTTTTTGTTGAAGTTGATGAGAAAATTAATGTGCCTTTATGCATCGTTTCTAATTGCAAATTGCCTAATTGTCATTCAAGTATGGCAAAGATGTTAAGTGCTGTGTACTTTAAATGGTCAAATCTTCTGGTTTAACTGGAGTGTTAACAAACATTCCGATACTAGTTGACCGTACCCTTTTTGTCTCTGTTGTGGCTGTCGATGTGGACTCTTCCAACTCAGCATATTAACTGTCACTGCATAATTAATCTGCTATATCATCACGTTAAAGACTGTCGTGGCATTTCCTTGTTCCACGGAAATCTTCAGTGTGTATAGAAAGCTTTTTAGGCATGAAAATGGTTAATAAAACTAAACCCGTCGTGTTCAATTAACTCTTACGAAAAATTTTGTGCTGCCTATTTTTCTTTATTAACTGTCATTATAATGATAGGTTCTTTCTTTCACTTTTAGTATTCATTCATCATTCATATAATCTTCCTCATGACAATTTCTCGTTAAGTTGGTTGTATAATTCAGCTACTGGAATTGCATATTTGCTCTCTTTTCTTGGAATAATAGCCGGTTTATCAGAGGGTATTTGTAATGCATCCTTACCAGAGCTTACCGCAGCTTTGGCGTGTAAAGTGTATTTTGTTGAAAACGCTTTAGAATTAATTGTGTTTCGTGGCTATTAGCTGGGTGGGAGTTTTTCTCCAGGAAAAGTATACATTTTTTCGGCAGAATCTGCATGCTGAATTTATGAAGTTGACATATTTTATTTCTTTTACAATTAAGATATATTTTCTATCATCAAACTCTCAATCTACTTCATATTATTAAAATGACTTCCAAGTTTTCCGAATCCCATTCCTTCGACATATATTATGAACTTGTTGAAGTTTGTAGATAATTTTGTGTTTTGTTCAACTCTCTCCTATGAAAGGCCAAGTGGAGACAAGAGCAAAAGGCCAGAGAACTAGCACTCGCGCAAGTAGAAGAAGAAAAGCGCCTCAAAGAAGTCTCGGAGGCCAACAACAAGAGGAAACTGGAGGCTCTCCGCCTCAAAATCGAGATCGACTTCCAAAGACACAAGGACGACCTCCAACGACTCGAACAAGAGTATGCCCGTCTCAAGGAATCTGCTCAATCCGAGGTCGAGAATCAATCGATCAACAACTCTTGGACAGAGAATGTGAAACCCCCGAAAGGCGGTGAAACCATAGCAAGGCTTCTGCACGAGCTCGACCAGACCCAAGAAGAAAAGCCGTCCGGCTGTGATCGTGATTGCATGATCTGCATGAAAGACGAGGTCTCAGTTGTTTTTCTTCCTTGTGCCCATCAGGTCATATGTGCCAGCTGTAACGAAGGCTATGGCAAGAGAGGGAACAAAGCTGCTGCTTGTCCATATTGCCGGGTCCCGATCGAGCAGCGGATTAGGGTTTATGGGGCTAGCTCGTGA